TATATATGTATACATATATATAGAGATTATCGCATTCTCTCTCTACTGCTTATTGCCTTTCCCTTTGCGATTGTTGCGTTGTTTATTTGCTGATGTGGTTGTTGTTACAGTTGATGTTGCTTCTGCTGACAGCACTGTCTTCTCCTCAAATGTTGCTGTGATTGGATACAAGGTTAAGTTAAAGTAGTGAGATATTGGTCAAGTTATATACCTTTTGCACGGGCTTCCAGCTGTACTTGTTGAAGTGTTTCGGTAACTGTTTTGAGGCGCGCCTGAAGTGATGTGTTATCGTTTGGTTTCTCAACAAGAGTTTCCTCTGATTCAGACAGAACATGCTGATCTTCCTTCTGCCGTTCCTGTTCTTGCTTCGTCACTGCAATCACCTGTTCCCCTTTGGCGATTACTTGCTGCTGTTGTGAATTTGGTCGCTCTTCCACAACATGCGCCTCTCCAGCAGCAATGTCATTGAAATCATTTACTGCTTCCTGGGCCATATTGCCTTCGGCTGCCTTGCGCCGTCGCCTCTCAAGTTCACGCGTATCGTTGTGCGTCCATTCAATATGCTCTTTGTAATACTGATAAACTGGAATCACAATAACTGAAATATCATCGACTGTAGCTGCAGCTTTGCTGTCCGCTAGGCGCCAATGACCAGAATCGTTGATTTTTCCACGGGCACGTGCTACCAGTTCCTGGGCGGCCATTGTATAACGATGCTTCTCCTTGGGGTAACGTGACAACATTTGGAAGACGATGCGTGAGACGGCATCATTTTCAGACACATCCCAGAGTCCATCGGTAGCCATTACGAGTATACCATAATCACCGTCCTCGTTGTGTTCATCGGGTATGCTAACAACCTGACTGAGATCACGCTGTCGCACATCGGGATGTGGCGTTAGGAATGGCTTTATTTGTACGCCCGTATTAATGGCTAATAAATCATGATCACCAAAGCCACGAGTTACGCCCAGCGTGCCCAGCAATCGGCTGCGTTTACCTTCGCCGTTAACCACAGGTATGCGCAGATCATTGCGCGTCAACGTCTTGTATGACCAACCCTTCATGGTGCCCTGGCGACATAGTATACGTTTGCCCATGTCTGTAATATGTGGCCGCTTCGCATATTCCATGGCCACATAATGCTGGCCCATTAGCTGGGGCTTCAAGCGTGCCACGTTCATTAAACGTTCACGTTCCGTTTCCGGCGTATGATCGGCAGAATAGGCCGTCGGGTAACTGTTAACGTCGTCCATCGGGTTCGTCGGAATTTTATTGGGGTCTGCTGTTGACTGCATTACGCTAACTGCAAGTCCAGCTCCCGCTCGTCTCTGACAGAGCACAGCACGACTATCGCCAGCATTAGCCACATACATTTTGCCATCAATAAAGAGTGTGACGCAGGCCGTGCAGCCACCCGCATCTCTGTAGTAGTTCCTGTCTTGTGCTATTAGCCAATCCATATGGAAGAAGGCGCTCTCTAGTGCGCCGATAATAAGTTCATCCCTGCTGACCCGCCGCTGAAAGTAGGTCGGATGCGGAAATGTCGGATTTTGATGAGATTTGCTGTTGTCGTTCACCTCATCGCGTGGCAGCAACAGTTCGCTGCAGTCCACCAGCATCTCGTGTAGTATATCATGAAATTGATAAGAGGCGGCCAACGCGGCCCCATAGCCAGCATGGCCATCGAAGATTCCAAAATACGTATAGGGGAGATCGGGATACTTCTTTTCCGGATCTGTCAGCACTTGTCTGTGAACGGTATGATCATTTAATTAGTAGTCTATTTCTTAATAATCATCACATATAGTGCAGCATGTTGTGCGATATTTTTAAACCCTGATCCAGTGATTGAAAATGCTATGCTACAATGGAGTATTTTTTTTTTTTTGCTCTCGCTATTGCTCTGATTTCGAACGGGTACGTAGCATAGCAGAGAGCACAAAAACAAAACGAATGCTCTTCTGCTCTGCTCCATAGCATAGAACATCGGAGCAAAGAGCAATAGCAAAAGCAAAAAATTTGCGATCCGTTATTTGTAGTTGTAGCAATAGCACAAGCATTGAAAGCGAGATGAGAGCAGAGCAAATGGAAAACATTTTTTTTGTTTCTGCTACGGAGCATTNCAGCGCAGCCCAAGCGCAGTCGCTGCTTACTGCGCAGTTAGCAGAGCGCGTTCTAATACGTGCGTGTGTATGTATGTGTGTCGAAAAGAAGTGCAGACTGATTAGAATATCAGATTAGAGGGTTCAGGGTATCGCCTAGTCGAGCAGTCTCGACTAAAGTCTTCTTACTTGTTATACCCTGAACCCATTGAAAATGGGAAATCAGGGTATAATGGCTTTGTGAATAAGTATGTAACGGGCAGAAGAAGGCGTGGCAGACCCCATAAAGTTTATATATTCTTGATCAGCACGACGAGCTGAGGGGATATAGCCCTGTCCGTCCGTGAGTGCGTCGATCTCAGAAGTTATAAGCGCTAGAGAGCTGAAATTTGGCATGCATACTCGTGTGTACCATACGCAGTACAAGTTTATCATATTTTTCGATAGCTCATCCGATAACTTTTTTTTCGGGAATAATTGAAAAATTGAGCCAAATTTTAACACTTTTAGAGACTTCAGATAGTAAATACAATTGTTCGATACGAAGATTTTGTAATTTACAGATTTTGGATACCACGCCCCCTTCGCCCACAATTTCAAGTACTAGAGACTTGTGCTTTGGAACATTTTAACCATATGATCACGCTCTGAAAGTTTCATTAAGATTGTATGTCTACAAAAGAAATTATTCAACTAGTAAATTCTCATAATATTGCCTATGCTGCAGCGCAGCCCAAGCGCAGTCGCTGCTAACTGCGCAGTCGGCAGAGTGCGTGATTATACGTGCATGTGGATGCGTATGTATGCATGTGTGCATAAAAGAAGTGCAGAATGAAGAATATCAGCCTAGAGGATTCAGGGTATCTCATAGTCGAGCAGTCTCGACTAGAGCCTTCTTACTTGTTTATACCCTGAGTCCATTGAAAATGGGACATCATTTTCAACTATTGGGGTATATGCAATATGCAGACGCTTCTCATTATTTGTCGCAGACCAAATTTATGGTTTTTCGTACAAGAAAACATGGTTGGCTTTGTATTTTCATTTTCTATAATACAAAGTTTAACTACTTAATAATATTCATATATGTACATATTTTTTGCATTTATTGTTTCCTCCTTAATATTTGGCTGGCTAATGGACAACATTAATGGGACTTACCGACAAAAGGCAGCTTGATCCTCATTCCACTTGGATTTGCCAGAGTTTATGCACTCGGCATATCCAGTGCCCCAGGGCAATAAGTTTAAGTCGCGCGGCACAATAATCGGTCGAACATTATGATTAGCAGAGGCTCGTAATTCGTCGGCAGTGAGCAGCTGTAAGAATGGAGGCCGTCCATAGGGAAACTTATCTGGCAACAGATTGGCAGAGCTCAGATCTGGCTCTATGGCAGATATAAAGCGGTTTTTAAAGTTATTTAACATTGCTGGGGGAGTGAACAGTTGCCACAAAAGCCGTTTGTTAACGCTGTGGCGTTTGGTCTTAATCGCAGCTGCACTCAGCTGGCGTTGTTTCTCGCTCACTCCCACTGACGTGGCGAGCTTGCTGTTGTATTTATGCTTTGATTGCAGTTCGCCGATTGCGCTGTCCTTACTTCGCTGTTATTTTTAAATGACGGTTGGCAATATATGGTAAATAAAATTAAAATGGGAATAAACCCAGCAGAAATGGCTTTTAGATTAGGCTTATCTTTATTTTGTGTACTTGGAATCGATTGCGACTACTTTAATATCGATTGCTACTTGACGACTATCGGCTGGAGTATTCTTTTTACTTTTGTTGAATTTAAAATACTTATTTTATTAAATATTTTACATATAATGCGATGATTTGAAAACTATCGTAAACAGACACCAACAATGTGTTAATAATTATGATTTGCTCTTTCTTAGCCAAACAAAAAAACAACAGTTTACCCATTTATGTATTTGTACTCTTGTAAAAATCAATAATTTGTTTGAGAATTTATGTGCACCGCATTGACTCACTGAATTAGTTTGTAATTAAGTAATCAAAGCAAGCGTTGAGCACTGACCCCGAAAGTTTCAGCTTCTACTAAAGCTGTTTTAATATCCTCTTTGACGGACAGCGCTATGCAATAAAATATGTACAATGCGTTTACACATGATGTATATCGAACTATACGATAGTTGGGTCTTTGGGTGATAGCGCATATATGTAGACTTAGCACGGTAGATGGCTGCAACTTCTACAGCCAACTACGATAGCCATCGATAAATGGTTCAATAGTTCGCGGTAGCTCTGAGCAATAGGGCTGCAAATCCATAGATGGTGGCTCCACTCGATAATTTCTTCATCGATGGAAAAAACTACCTACAG